ACGGAATTAAGAATAAGACAATATTAATGAGAAAATAAAAAGTTAAAAAGGCGAGAATTTTCCCTCAAATAACCTCGCTTCTCTTCACGCCCGGAGTCATAGTTAAAACGATAGATTCCTCTCCTTCTCGACGGGATGGAAAAAAAGTTTTATCGAAAACCTCGAAAATGAATCAATATAAGATCGCAACTCCGCTGAGGTTTCATCAAGAAATATCAAAAAGCATTTTTCAAAAACCCTTTCCTTCGGTATGTTTACACTCAGTTTGTTGAAAAAAGAAAATATTATCGGAACTATAAGGAGTAGACAGCAGATAAAGGGTTCCGTTGTCAAGATAATATAGAAATTGAATTTTCATTCTTTTTGTGAAAGAAAGATTTTTGGCTTCCTCATCTCCTTCCTCTAATTTCTTTTCATACTCTTCCAATTTTTCACGAGTTTGTAATCTAAATTGATCCATCCCTTCTTCTCCAAAGCATACTTTACTAAATGATTTAAAATTAAGGTCTTTATCAATTTTAGCACTTACTTCACTAGAGGCTTCGCTTTTAAGGAAACCTTTGAATGTTTTTTGAGCGGCTCAGGGAATCACAAATCACCACACTACACTAATTAAGAGGGTGAAAATGATAATTCTCAACCAATTTTTTTTCCAAATTTTTCCAAAATAAAATTTATATAATTTTCCTAATTGCGACATAATTTAATTTATAAGTCAAATAATTTTCGATCTTTTTCCACAAAGTAATCTTCATAAGTTTTTTCAATATCCGCCGTTTTCTCACCGGTGTAGACAATTCTTCCTTTTTTAATCATAGTAATATCATCCGCTAATTTTTGTAGATCAGAAAGAATGTGAGTGGACATTAAAATGGTGCCTCCTTTATCGCGAATATTCTTTAAGTTGTTAAATAAATCTTGACGGAAACTAGGATCTAAACCATTGAAAGGTTCATCCAATAAATATATTTTTGGTCGATAAAGACTTAAAGCGAAAACTTGTAGGATTTTTTTTCAACCGGTGGATAAGGAATGACAATTTTGATAACGAAATTGCGAAAGAGGTGAAGCAGACAATTTCCGAAGTGCTTCTTGTTTAGGAATATCTCGTAAATAACCCACATCCAGTAAATAATTTTCTACCGTAAGACTGGGGAATTTAGGTTCGGCCGGAATAAAACCCAGTCGTTCATTAAAACGAGGGTCATTTTTCACCGACTTAAAATCAATATATTCTTCGCCGCTATTTGGCAAAACTAAACGCACTGAGATATTAAGCGTAGTTGATTTACCGGCTCCATTCGGACCGATGAAACCATGAATAGTTCCTTTCCGAACCGAAAAGGAAACATTATTTAAAACCGTTTTATGGTCATACCTTTTGCTGAGTTGTTTGAGTTCGACTAATTTTTCTGCCATGCTGATTTTTTATTTATTAAATTAATTTTATATATGGTTGGTGAACTAACTTGGGCTAGATTCAGTAAAATTTACTCCTACTTTTCACGGCTCACCAAAGCAATTAGGGTTTTTTTTATACTAACTTTTAAGTTTTTGAAACTAAAATAAATTAAAGTCAACTAAAAATTATTAAAAAATAAAATTATATGAATAGAGTAAGCAATACGCCAGTAACCAGACGTCGTCGGAAAAAAGTTTTAAAACAAGCCAAAGGTTATTTTGGTTCTAAGCATAAACTGTTCAAAACTGCCAAGGAGCAAGTAATGCGTTCTTTGAGTTATGCTTATGCTGGTCGAAAGCAACGAAAACGTGATTTTCGGAGTAAAATTTGAATTCCTCGTTTAAATATTCACTTGCGAGAAAAATATGGTATTCGGTATTCTCAATTTATCCGTTTATTAAATTTGGCTCAAGTTAAAATCAACCGTAAACAATTATCGGAAATGGCAATTAATCAACCTCAACACTTTGATACCTTGGTTAATAAGGTTCAAAATCCGTGATAAATTATTGGTTGTATTAATTAAACTGAAAATTTTTTTCTTATTTATCGGCATTAATGGTTTCAAACACTTCTTCTTTAATTTTTTGATAAAGTTCGGGGTTTTCGAGCAGATATTCAGTAACATTTTCTTTTCCTTGACCTAGTTTTTTTTCTTTATAAGAATATCAACTACCGCTTTTTTGAATGATATTTAGTTCGGTAGCTAAGTCAAAAATTTCTCGTTCTTTTTGGATACCGCCTTCGAACATTAATTCAATATCAGTCGGTTTTTTTTTATCTTTGGAAGAAATTTGAGAAGGGATTGCTCTCCTTTTTAAAACTCAAGCACAAATTTTAATTCCGATATATTTTCCTCCCTTTTCAACTTCCTCTTTTTTATTTTTTAACTTTATTCGTAAACTGGCATAATAAGGCAAAGATGCTCCTCCAGTGGTAGTTTCTGGATTACCAAAAGTGAAGCCGGTTGGTATTTTGTAGCGAATCTGATTAATAAAAATTATAATTGTTTCGCGGTTAGTCATTTCATGGTTAATTTGCCTTAAACCGTTGTTTAACATTTTAGCATGAGCGCCGATAGGCGGCCTTTCCCAGTTTCCTAACAATTCAATCGGTATTAAGGGAGCTATCGAGTCGATAACAATTAGACCCGCACCACCCCGAATAAAATCAGTTACTAATTTAAAAGCTTCCTCACCATGGCGCGGGCGAAGAACCAACAATCCATCGATATCTACCCCAATATTCTGAGCGTGTTTAGCATTTAAAGCATTTTCAATGTCAAGTCAAATTGCTCTTTTCCCTAATTTTTGGCATTCTCGCACCGCATGCAGGGCTAAAGTAGTTTTTCCACTGGAATTTTCTCCATAAATTTCAACAATTCTTCCGAGGGGATACCCACCTCCGGTTTCATGGTCTAAAATGATACTTCCGGTGGATAAAGTAGGTTGGTCTTTAAATTTACTTTCTCCCAAGGTAGTAATAATTCCTTCGCCGTATTCCTTAGTGATATTTTCGATAATTTTTTTAATTTCGGGGGAGGTTAAATTTTCTGGTTCGCTTTGAGTTGCTTTTTTTTGCGCCATATTTAATATTTTTCTTTAATTCTTACTCGCTTGATAATAATTTCGGCTTTTTAGTAGTTAGTCAACAAAACAAAATTATACTGTTATCACACTTCTGCCTTAAATTATTTTGCTAAAATTATAATAATAAAAATTAATATGACAGAAAAACAAATAAAAATTATAGCCGAATATACTGGAAAGACAAAAAAGACCTGAACTTCTGGCAAATATGAAGAGTATTACAAATTTACTCCGGTTGAGAATGGAGGTGATATTGGAGAAATTAAAATTAGTCAAGATAATCTAGGAATTGCAGTGTTGGTGCTGAAAGGGTTAGACCAAGACAAATACGAACTGAATTGAAGCGAGGATAGCAAATCCCCAAAACGAGTTTTTGAAAAGGACGATGTAATTGTCTTGGTGAGGAAAGAAGAAGATGACGATAACAATGACAAGAAAGCGAAAGACTGCCCAACTTGTCTTGAAAGGATAAACGGCGAAATATCTAAATGTGAAGACTGGGAAAGTAAACGAAAAAACCAACTAGAAGAATTAAAAAAAGGAGTCTGTTTTCATAAAAAGGAAGACGGTGATTCTCCAACCATATTGGTTCATAAAGAAAAAACAACAAGAAAAGGTAAATGTTCGAAATGCCAAAAAGAATATGTATCCAGTAAATCTAATGATGTGGGCGATCAAAAAACTTTTCCTCATAACTGTTCCCAAAAACCTAATCAGCAAGACGACGAAGGAAATGATAACGATAATCCTAATAGCAAAATTGCTGAGAAGTCAACCGTGCGAAAATATTGTAAAGGCAATGGTATATCAGGGTTAGAATACGATGAAGAAACTGGTAAACTAATAATTACCTACAAAAATAATAAAAAACCTAAAAGCGAGTTAGATAATTTAACCGAAGAACTCCAAGAGATTAAAAATTACCTGAAAAAGGAAGGTCGAAGCAAAGGTAAAAGAAGGCTCTTAACTGAAAGCGACTGAGAAGAGAATGCTCAAGGAATCCAGCAAAACAAAACTGATTACACTCCCTATTTAATTGCGGGTGGAATAGGATTATTTGTCATTATTCTAATTGCGGTGATTGGTTTAGTGAGAAAGAATGATTAAGGGTTAGAAAATTAGCAAACTAGGAGAGTTAATGATGAGAAAAAAAGTAAAGATTTATTTTTCATTAAACCATAACCTAGAAATATAAGGTCAGAAAAAAAAGAAAAATTTTTCAAGCGGAGGAAATTAATTTGCTCTTTTTTATTAAGGAAATTCTCGAACCGAAAGCGTTCCATCATTGTTTCTTAACAACAAACAACTTTTTCTAGTGCCATCAAAGTAGATTCCATATTTACTTCCAGTTCAGGCCATCGCTGGTTTTAATTGGTGCTCGATTGCTGATTTTTTTTTTTCGGGGTGATAGCCTTTTTTCACTTCGACTACTACTCAAATTCTTCCCTCTTTTTTTAGCACTAAATCTACTAAAATTTTGACTTTGCTCCTTCCCTGATGTCCAAAAGATTTTTCCAAGGGATATTCTAACTGAAAAGCCGAAGGGGAATAACCTTTTTTTAAGAAGTAATTAATTAAGCGAATTCGTTGATATTCTTCACTGTAATTGCCATCGGCATCATATTTTCTGGTTCGCAGAACACCACGAAGGGGGCAAATTAAAAAACCTTCCCTAACCTTTTTTTCCTCAACTTCATTTTTTTCTCAAACTATAAAAATAATCAGCAGTAAAAATAATATTAATATTATTAATCCACTAATTATGATTCACCTTTCCTGAAAAAGCATTTTTCAATCCATATTTAATTTTTTATAACTGGGAAAGGACAAAATTGGTATGCATGTGTAAGAAAACTTATATTTAAATGAATATAGAGTTAAAAATAAAAATGTATAAAATTAAATTGATGACAAGTATTATAGAACAAAAGTTGAAAATAATAATTAGTTTTTAATCCTAATCACTCCTTAAAAATGTAAATATATAATGTATATGAAGTATCATGCAAAACAATCTATTCATCAAATATCAAATCTTCCGGTGCCGGTAAGGCACAAAGAAGTAGAGAGAACCAACCAAAAAGTATAAGTATGTGACTTCTCCTTTCGCACTAGTCCAGACTTTTATTAAAAAAAGTAAGAGCCTAGATCAGCGACTTTCCCAAGAAGTATAAAAAAGAGGTAAAGAGTTTTCTAACTGGATTTCTTGCCAATTCCACTAGTTAGAATATTAAAGTAAAAGAATTGGCAAAATAACTAAATAAAAATACAATACAACAACCAACAAATATTTATTTATAAAACTATGGGAAATCAACAATCAAATGAAAGAAAAAGAAATTATAAAATATGTAAAATTACATGAGTAGATGAACACTCGGGCTGAATTAGATGTTATTTAGATGGCTATGTTCCTTACAACGATGGAGAGTTTAGGTACATGGATTTTGAAACAGACACTACTTTAAATATTCTTGAAGGAGTGGGCAGTGTGTTTCTTAATTATGATGGACCGAGGCAAGCCACTCTTGATGAAGGGCGATATATAGCAATTGATACTGATATAACGAAAGAACGCAGTAGTAGTTGTAATTTTAGTCGCCGTAGTGTGATAAATGTAAATGTAGGAAATAGCAGTGGTTTACCAGGAGAGGGAGGTTTTCGAGAACTTGTCGAAAGAACAACTGAGGCTAGAGAAATGCGTGCTAGGGCGAATGAATGGTCTGATTTTGACAAACAAATGCAACAAGCATGGCAATTACAACCTCCTAAAAAATAGTTGAGGATATGATGAATGTTAGTTAACAGTAAAGTATGGTATGAAGCGGTTATGGAGGTGGAAATCTTTCAGCAGCAAGACAACGTTATGGAAGCGGAGGTTTCCCCTCCCCCTCCCCTTGATGACAAAAACTAATTTGAATAATAATCTTAATAGTCTTTGTTTTTGTAATTTGACTATTAGTAAAAAGAAGTAAAAAAAGAAAAGTTAAAAAGAAAACCAAACGAACAGTTATCTAGTCTGAAAATACTAGGTGTTAATGCCATTTGAGGTTTAATAATGGCAAAAAAAACATAAAAATAGTAAAAAGTAAAAATAATATGCCAAGAAAACAATGTCAAGAATGTAAAGAAATAAAAAATATGAGCGAACTAAGTGCTAAACTTGAAATTTGTCAGAGTTGTCGAACCTGTGAAAATTGTAGTCGAGTAATAAACGATGGAACTTTGTATTATACCCTAGATGAAAGTTATAAAGAAAAATTAACCCGTTGTCATTTTTGTTTAAGCAAAGGAGATAGACACCGACAACTTCGTCATTATGACCTCGACAGATTATTGAGAGAAGCCCGACAAGTTCAAAAAAATTTCTAAACCAAATAACAAGAATAAAATAAAGTAAAATAATTAATAAATATGAACAGCAACAACAATATATTCAATAAAAAAGAGGTAGAAAATAAACTAAAAAATTTTAAAGAAGGTCAAGATTATTCAATTGTTCCGACTGATGAACCAAACGTAAAAACTTATAATTTCCATAACGATAAATTGCGAAGTGCGTTTCGAGGTGATAAAGTTCCGGTGCGAGTAACCCAAGAAGCCTATGATGGCCAGGATTATACTTATCGAGGTCATTTTGAGGAAGGAAAAGATTACCGATATAGTGTTCAACATTGAAATTACGAAAAAGATTACCAAGGGGATAGAGGAATTGAGGATATGCCTGATTGAGCACGGTCTATTTTTGCTGGTAGGCAGGAAGGAATTAGTGAGCATAGCAAAGTAGAAGTTTATGGTGAAGGTGGCAAATTTAACTCCGGAAAAATGTTAAAAAGTTGAGAAAAAAGATGGACTTATGAAGGCAAAGGGAGTGTAACCGAAAGTCTAGGATCGGTAAACTCGAAACCTAATTGAAAAAGTAATGAAGTAGAAATGCACCAAAATTATTTGACCGAGTTTCAAGAAAAAAAACATTTTTGAGAAATGAGATTGATTGAGGAAAACGGCGGTAAAGGTTCAGAATATTTGCGGCAAAAATACGGAGAAAATTATTTCATAAGTCCAGATCGAAACAAGATTATTGAAAGCATTAAGCAAAGCATTAATGAGTATGAAACAAAAATCCAGTATGAAAAAGATTGATTAGCCAAAAATGTTAACGGTTCTCGGTCGCAATATTGGGAAACTTGTCAGTGTGGCAAAAGGTTTGACAAAGCCAAAGAATATTATGGTGTATATAGTTTAGATAGAAGTGGTCAAGAGGTTTATTGTAGTAGTGATTGTGCCGAAAAATACAAAAGCGACCCATATGGCATAATTGAGTATTTACCACAAACTTACTTGGGGAAAGATGATAATAACCATTCCGATTTACGCCAAGAAAACCAAGCATTACGTCAACAATTATCAGAAGTCCAAAAACAATTAGCCAAAGTTTTAAAGGAGTTGAAAAAGTTAAAGAAAGAGGTAAAAGGTGAGGAAAGCGAAAAATTGAGCCAGCAAATAGTTCAAAATGAAAGGTTGATGCAAGAAAGCAAACACGTTTCAGTGGCTGAGGTGCAAGAGCAAGTTAATAAATCGCAAGCGTTAATGAAAGAGTTGAAAAATGTTTCCTCAACCAACAATAATAAAGAGGGAAGTATGGTTCCTTATGTAATTGGTGGTTCGGTAATTTTGGCTTTGGCGGGAATTATTGGCTATTTTCGGTTGAAAAAGAATAGGCGAAAATAAAGTTGATTAGTCGCTAATCTAGTGGGGTTAGTTGGTAAAGTGGGAGGGGGTTAACTTTCCTCCTCCCTTTAAAATAATATATATAGTAGTGATTAAATTAATTATGAATTGATATTAAACTAAGTCAGCAATTAAAAAGATAATAAAATAATATATATACTTTTGAAAAATAAGTGGTGGTTCTTTGCTACTTAATTTTGAGAGGTATATTTTTTACTCTCTCTTTCTTTGAAAACTGAACGCAAAAAAAAAGATTTTACCGA